CCTCCAAGGAGAAATTTCAACTTTGAAGGATGAACTTAAGTGATTGATTGACAATTTCAAAGACTATCTCTAACCTTCACTTCCATTCTTTTAAATCACATTTCTCGTGACAACARCAAACCAGTTGATTTATTAGTTAGATATGAGCTTCTACATTCCACCACGTGTTTTTGGCCTTTTCCAATTCGTTTTTATACTGTTACAAATTATAAAAAGATGATATTTCCTCAAGTCTAGTCCAAATGGCATCTTCATCTTAATACAAGTTAAGCTTTTCAAGAAAAAAAAAATTTATTCTAATATTTCARTTCCATAATGTTAGAGGGAGTCTGCTCTTGCAATTTAGTTGGAATGTAGTTAGTAAGTTAAAGTTACTCCTGTTAATTTCTTTATTAGTTGTATAATTACTCCTTTCTATAAATATCACATAAAGGCCCCACATAATAATGGGGAGCAATCACTCATAGGTGAATAATCTCACTTTTACGCACACTATAGTCAATTTGATATGATCGGTGATCAAGACATCTATACATTTTGTACGATTGAAGATTTGATCTCTCATCCTAAATTTATTTAACTATTTTTTTTAACCYCATTATGGGTAAATAAGAGGCAACATTTTCATTTCGCTAAAGTAAAACAATTCAACAGGATCCCTTTGTTTATCACACCTCATTGATTTTTTTTCTCTTTAATTTGAGAATATCTCTACATTATGTGTACTTTTGTTTGTGTGCTTGAGATTAACYTAGAAAAAAAAATTAAATAAAGATATTTTTTCACACATACTTTTGAAATAGTTATTAATTTAGAGTGTATGTTTAGTATCGATTTTAGATATCTAAAACGTTCTTTTTGAAAAATTTACAATATTTGATAATAAGTAGACAAATAAACATTTAAAAAAAAATTAGGTGGTTCTAAAATCTCTTTTTGAAGAAACACATGAATGATGATGATCTCATTCGTGACTTTAAAATGATTAATACTTTTGTAGTTTGAACACTTAAAAACTAATTATTCAAAATAATATTATTGTTGAAACTAAAAGATAAAAAAATACAGAAAACTCAGGGTTGGGTTAACTACTTTCCTTGATGATTGAATTACCATTCAAGTTATATATATATATACCTCTAGCGTTTTGATTTGATTGCTCTCTGCCCATTTCAATTGAATAATAATCAATTTGAATATAGTTTAATTGATTAAGTCATATATCCTGGTCTTAAGTTCAAATCTTCATCTTCAATTCATGAAGTGAAAAAACAATATAATTTTAATTGAATTTTATCCCATAAGATTAAGATATTGTTTTTCGTTTTCAAGAAAATAAATATATATTTTTTAAAGTTATTCATCACACCAAAATGCAAACTTCAATTTAATGCTTAAAATTATTTTAAATATTAAAGTAATTTAATATTCACACGAAAAAATTAATTAAAATAACCTCACAAACAACTTTTGATGTGGATTCACACGTTTTCTATATATAACAAACTCTTTTATTGGTCCCTTTTCCTATTGTATCACTATTTCTTTATTTCACGTCTTCTTTTTCTCTCTAATAGAATTGACAAAATTTCTTTTTCTATCCTTCAATTTTCTTCAGAAGTATTTCTTTTTTCCCAAAAGGTTTGCTGCAAAAATGATCCAATTTAAGTCATAAAATTAAAGAAACAATCAATCCAATCACGAAACTACAAAAATGATTGAATTGAAATCTAATTTATATTATACATATTATTAAATTATTAATTTAATTGATTGACTACTACATTCAACTAAAATCAATCAATACTTGAAAGTCACCGTAAATATTTTTAAAATACAGTAAAAAAAAACTACATTACAAATTTTCCAAATATAAATGTTAATGTCCTCTTAGTGCATGTGTTAGTAAGCTCAAGATTTTTTTAATTAATTTTTTATGAAAGTAAATATCAAATTAACACATTAATTGAAATAAGGGGTCATTGCTAACCAGCAATGTAGCTCAAATAGTAGCCAATTTAGCACAATTTTAAACCTAACCCAAATAAAAGTGAATGAAAAGTCGAAAAAATGAATCAACATATCTCAACATTGTACATAATGAAAATTGTATGTCAAATGATTATGTAACTTTTATTTTTTATCAAAGTTCTCTTTGCATTCTTATAGAATATTTGGCCTATTAATATCACTTATATGCCATATTAATAGAACGAAAATAGGAGATCAATGCTTTTCATTACTCAATCGATTTTGTCAAATTTTTCGATTTCTTAACTTATACTCATAATTGCCTCCATCTCAACAGGGTAATAGACACATAATTGACAGATTAGTGCCCTGTTAAATAGGGTGACCTAAAACAAACAAAAAAGAAATTAAAAAAAAAAAAGAAAAGAAGAAAAGGACAGAAAACGTGGTGGGAAGCGATTTAAATAAATGGAAGCATCGACTGCGTGTACTTCCAAATATGGATTAAATTGGATTACGACCCAACAAAAGGAAACTGTTTGGATACTGTGATTGGCTACTCCTGGCGTGGATATCAAGTAAGCTGTCTTCTCCACCCTCCTCAGTTCACACAATTCATTTTCACACTGAAAATTCTTTAAAATAACATTGTAAAAACCACCCCAAAATATAAAATTTATAATAAACTTATAAAATTTTTGCAATTAAYTTTTAAATATAATCGTACCTTCCAACTATTAGAGTATTTAAAATCAAACCCGTGATATAAAATTGTAATAATTTAACTAATTTTTTTTTTCAATTTTATAACATTTGAAAACTATAATATTGTGATTTAAAAAAGCAAAAAACAAAAAGGAAAAAAAATTGTAACAATGTCTATAATGTCTATGATTCAACTGACGCACGTTRTAAAATTTCTTTAAAATAAAAGGTATATCTTCTTCTTATTAGACATGTGAGAGTGACTATTCAAACTTTCGACCTTTCGATTGAAAATAGGTGTCTTAACCAGTTGCACTATATTGACGTCGGATCTTATATCATTTTAAATGATGTTGATATTGTAGATATAATAAGTGGCAATAACATRCCTATAATAGATATAGTGTAGGAAATTTTCTCGTGAGAGGTGAGCGTGACATCTAATTCCTTGTGGACGAGGTTGCTTCCATCTATCAACTTGCCAACTAACAACTGCATTCCACAATCAAACCATTAAATGCAAAAAAGAAAAAAAAAGTTATCTCTTGGATTTTATTTACTAGATTAACGTTAATTAAGTAGTCAATTTCAAGCCTATGTTCTGGGAAAAAAAATTCAAGCTAAAAGGTTAAATCACAAATTTGTTTATTGAAAGAGTGTTTCTACTTAATCTTTAAAATCTTATAAAAAAAATTCTACTAGTTTCTTAATCTCTTTTAGTTTTGTATCTTTTTGTTATTGATTTCATCAATTTAACGCTTATTTGACGCGTTGACCATATTAAATTAGCGATCAYGTGATATGACCTACTATTTTTTTTCTTTTTTAATATAATAAATGTGGGGTATGAAAATTTTAATCTCCAACATCAAGAGAAGAAGTAGATGTCATTTGTTGCTGAACTATGCTCATATTGACATATAACCTAGAAATTGAAACATGTTAGTTTGAYTAATTTTGTGCAAACATGCTAATGAGACTGAAAATTTTTCAAAGAGCTCACCTAACTCTTTTAAGTTCTAAACTTACTCGATTTTACTTATTTCAAATTAGTTTACCATATCATGTCACAAAATTCTTAATTAATTATACAGTCAACAAATAATTTGAACATTAAGTTGACAGCGTTTAACGTAGGAGAGATTCATTCTGACACAAAATTGAAAATTTAGAGRCATGAATATATATTTTTTACTTTTTACCTCCTTTTTCTTGAGGAGTATAGACGTATAATTGTTTATACATAAAAAGGAATGTAATCACAATACAACCTACAAGTGCAGAAGAGAAATATATTACGGCTTTTATACTATAAGTATTTGAAAGAAAAATTATGAATAAGTCATGCATGTAGGACATGAGAAGAAACTAAACAGATCATRGGATCATTAAATATATTTTGAATTTCATAAAATCATAAACTAAAATATATATAAGGTTGAAATCTCACTTTTTTTGCGGCTATACTTTTACAATTATTCCATCATTGAAATTTCAAAGTATATCAATTTTTAGTTTCAAAGGTTACCAAATTTTATTCCATCACTGAACTTTTCAAAATTTTTGTATTAACTCCTGAACCCCTAGAAAAAAAAAACATTTTCATTCTCGCATTAGTTTTGTTAATCAATTGTTTAACACATAAATAATGTGACTTTAATTTGAATACTCATGCTAACATGTGTCTTATATGAGCATATATAGTTAAGTGACAAAATAATAGTTAACCATCAAATTGACCTTCAATTTTTTTTAATAAGTTTAAGGAGTTAAAATAAATATTTTAGAATCTTAAGCTTCAAAAAAATATAAATAYTTTAAATAGTTTCCACATTTCCTAAAAATACATTTGAAAACTAAATTTCAGAAACAAAAACTTATTATTTTTTTTTAATTTTCAAAATTTACCTTAAATAAATACAGAGTTGAAAGTTGGATTTATAATTTTTTTTAATATTTTTATAATTTTTATAATTTTTCTTTTTGGGAAAAGTAAGACATGTTGTATGAAAAAAATACCAATCTCATAACAAAGGGAGACCTATTAAAAAAAAAAGTAACTATAAGAGCTCGAAACAACGAAGATAACAGCATACAAAACAAGACAAACAGTCAAAATAACGTAAGTAAAAACATGGAAAACTATGAAACATACTATAAACTTTATTTTTAAGAAAACAAAATAATTATCGCCTTAAGACTAAAATAGACCAATCAATCAAAATAAAATAGATTAAATATGAAATTGAAAAAGTATATTTTTACAAGAAAAATACCGACTCCTCGGCGTATAAATAGAAGAAGAAAAGCGCTATAAACTGTAGCCAGAGGCGTTGATAGCATCTCCAAAACTCTCTTTCTATCTCTCTCGTCACTATACAGCGATTCGGTTTCCATTGTCTCGGCTTTGATCTGTATGAGAGCGGAGCACGATAATCATCCATTGGCAATCAAATTCAAGCAACAATTCCTGGCGAGAATGTCGAAGCAGCTCGCAGCTCTGTTCGCCATTGCAGCCCTTCTTACAATGTCCGTTCTGTTGTCTTCCCAAGCTCGTCCAATAACCACATTCAGCGCCAATTCTGTCGAAATCGCGCATCCGGTAACCTAAAATTCCAAATCCACTGTTCTAGTTTCCGATCGATTCTTAAATCAATTTCATCGTTCTATGATTAATTTTGTGTCTTTAAACACCGGTGGTTCAGGATTCGAAAGATCGGGTTCATGAAGACGGATGCGATGAACGAGCGGAAGATCAGGACTGCCTGAATAGAAGAACATTAGAGGCTCATACCGATTATATCTATTCAGGTGAGACCAAGCCATGAACCGTATTCAAATAATTGATCTCAGAATTCACACACAGTCGTACATCCTCTGAAAAAGAGGAGAAAATGTTTTCGCACAGTCGTCTCGTCTCCATCTTCATCTTCTCTAATCAATATAGTTTAATAATTAATGTTAATCAATCTGCCGGAGTTCATTATTCGTCTTCTTCTTCTTCATCTTTCTGTTTGTTTCCCGAGAAAACCGAAAAAACACTCCGGATTTTACAGAGACATGCCGATTCGATTCTGCTTGTGGTGTGACGTTATTCTCCGTCCCCACAGCTTCCGTAACAAGAATGAGTTAGGAATTGTGGCGGTTTTCCATCAAATCAATTGGTTATTTAAGGATATATATACACTCTCTTTTGATGGTAACCATTCTGTACCCGACTCTTTTTTCAACCACTCTCATGTGTACATGCCGGTTAAAGGAAATAGTTCTTACTTTGCAGAAAAAATTAATAAGTAAAATCATTCTTATTTACTTCTGATCACATATTTATGGCTCTACTTGGGGTCACACAGAATCCCACGTTCTTCAATCCAGTTTGTGATTATAAAGACCGAACAAAGATTATGGTACTACGTATCGTAGTTGTTTTAACATTTTCAATGTTACTTTTTAAGATTTGTTTTTTAAATTAATCTTTAAGTACGATGATACACTGAAGTTAACACTATTAAAGTCATAATCCACTGTCCTGACCTTTGCGGAAAAAAATAAATATCCACTATCTTGACTCTGTTTTGACTTGTGTGATTAAAAAATTCACTTCATTTTTCCTATTTATCAACCCCCGTTGGGTAATGCTCACCTTTTTATATTTCCTCGTTCTTAATAAAGAAAAACAAGCTCATAAACCTACAATGATAAAACAAAATTTTTTTTTATATTGGAATAAATTGGAAAATGAAAATTTTCTAAAATATGAGAACAAAAAATATAAATAGTTGTCATTTCAGGGACAGAAAGTTACCAAATGGGCTCTAATTTATCCATTAATTCACTTTCTTAACCATCTTTTGACTCGTGTTTAAATTTTATTTCACATCTCTATGTGTCCACTTATTTTTTTTCTCGAAATAGGAATGAAATCCAAAATTTTAAGAATTTGGATAAGCAATAACTCAAGAGAGAATCTCAGGGTCCCAAAATAAGTTCTCATTTCAAATTTGTTCCAAAACATGTATAAAAAGATTATTTTATTATACTTATTCATGAGTTTGGAGTCATGCAATTCTTTTTTTTATTATTAAAAAAGAATAAACAGAAATAATAAATTGGAGCGCTTCCTTATCTTTTAACTCTTTTAATGAGTTTGCTCAAGAGGCAATGTCATCATAATATATAAGGGCAGTACCAAGTACAAGTATCATATCTCCGGCACAAATTGAATTTTATAGTGATAAGAAGCAACTTGCTCAAGATCAAATCAAGTATATGTATTTATGTGTGTGTATATATATATCATTGGTATGTTAGCGTTTATATAAGGTATATAATTAGTATATCAACACTTATAATCAACTATAAGAGTGTTAATATAACAAATTAGGCATATCAATGGATATCAGTAGTCATATCAGGTATAGAAGACATACATTCAAGTTATAAAAGAAAATTTATAAATAATACAACACAACTCGATTAAACAAATTGAAGATAGTAAATAGAAGTAACATATCATAGCATATCAACTATATCAATGGTATATCATATCAAATAAGTTAAATTAATGATATATCATATCAAATCACGTATATTATTAGTATGTCAAGTATATAATGGCCAAGTGTCAACTAAGGGTACGTAGGTTGGAATTTTATTTTATTTTGCCTAAATTTTCCCAACTTTACTATTTTGCAAAATTGAAAAGTAATTACTGCTTTCACACCTTCCCATTAATTTCTTTACTACTTTTGCAAGCACCCTATATTAGTCAAAGGTATTCCCCAAATTAGCTGTGAAAACAATTCTCTAAGTCAGTCCCTATTACTAAATTTGTAGCCAAATTGAAAAGAATTAAGTTTCACAAGAGCCAGATTGGTATTTCCATCAATGGCAATGGCAGTTGAGGGCCATGCGGCGAACCAGAAACTTGCCGGCCTCCTTTTCCTCACAAGATCCAACGAATCCTCCACCCTCTCATCTTATAAACTCCTCCTCCTCCTTCGTCTCCAACGGGGAAAAGAGCCGGAGATAAAAAGTTGAAAAAACAAGTTAATTTTTCTCTGAGGCATTTCACAAACACCTTTCGTGCAAAGACATGGGGGTGAAGCTCTGGCTGATTCTCCTCCTCATCCTCGCCGTAGAGGTGGCGCCTCACTCCGCAACCCTCAACAACAACGCCGTTTTCTCCTCCCGCGGCACCTTGTTCGGAGAATTGAGACCACGGAACCTGCTGGGCCGTAGTCTACTTCCAAGGGGGAAATATCTGAGCTACGCGGCGCTGAAGCATAACAGCATCCCCTGCGGCCGCAGGGGCATGTCTTACTATGACTGCACCAAGCGCAAGAGAGCCAATCCTTATAGACGCTCCTGCCTCGCCATCCATGGCTGCGCTAGATTCACCGATTAATTCAAGTTTCATCTTCACTAATGGTGCTAACTATAAAGACTTCATTGTACTCTTCACTCTTATTAGCTACACTAGACTTTATTTCTCTTTACTCCAAGAGTTTTTATTCCTAAGGTCTGGACAGAATTTCTAATACGTCCCTCCTTATTACAATGCTAACATGTTCTACTCCTCACATCATTATATGCATCTCACATGAAATTAACAAAAACAATAGCATGATTCTTATTAGAAAAAGTTTCACCTATATTCTCCAATTCAGAAATAATTCTATGGAATTCATTTAAATTATCCTTCATATTTTTGCTAGAATCCATTTAAAAGCTAAAGAATTTTAATGAATATATCTGGTTAGATACCGATACTTTTTGATAGGTAGTTTGTAACATATTTCGAAACGTAACAGCGGGATCCTATTCCACTACTGTTACGTTAGCCAAAATGTCATTGGCTTCCACGAGAGCGTAATCGACCTTTGGTTGTCGGAGGATAGCCATCATTTTAATCTTCCAAAGAGCACATCGCTCCACCTTAAAAATACTCACACAATTCTTTTATCCTAAAAAGTATACAATTTATACGGATTACACGGGATCGTTAAGACCGGTATCAATATTACACAACTATATTCATACGGGAGGATTGCACAAGAAAAATAAAGAGAATGGAGAAATATACAACCTTTGTAGATCTCCATTTTGCATCAATCTTCGAACCCAATGAAGAACACCCAAGGACACGAACCCATAATCCTTTTTCAATCAAGATCTTATTGAATCTTGAATACTCACGCCTCAACACCCCATGGTATCGAACAAATATGTTCCGATATGCTCCTCACGGTTGCAGCACAACGGTGGACTGCTCCTCCATGCCGAATGACAAATGCCCACGATATTCAGCAACTGCTCCAACGATGTCGGTAGCCGAAGTGATACTGTGACGGCTAGCCCTCACACTACCAAGTCTCAAATGAGCATCCAGTCAAAAAAAGATATTCAACCAAAATCTAGAGCCAAAAGAGATCCATGATCTTGAGGGCATGTTAAGGTCTCACATTAATAAGATAAAGGGACCTAACAAATGTTTATAACCTCTAAAATAAAACGACGGTGACCTTATATCTTATTTTTAGTATACATGAGATAAAAATTTGAACTCACGACTTTTTGATCGAAAACAAGTGTCTTAACTCGTTTATTATATTCAAGATAACGTTAGACCTTATATGATTTTTAAATGATGTGGATATGGTAGATCTAATAAATATTAAGTGTAGGAAATTTTCCCGTGTGATGTGAGGGCTGCATCTAATTCCTTGTGGACGAGGTTGCTTGCTTGCCTTCCTTCTATCAACCTCTCAACTAACAACTACATTCCACGATCAAACCATCAAATGCAAAAAATAAAATAAAAAAAGTTATCTCTTGGATTTTCTTTACTAGATTAATGTTAACTAGTAAATTACAAGCCATTAAACTAGTGAAGTATATCATTGTCTAAGCTCCGTATTTCAGCTAAGAACCAACTAAGGGTGCGTTGGAATTTTATTTTCTTTTGCCTGAATTTTCCCACTTTACTATTTTGCAAAATTGAAAAGTAGTTACTACTTTCACACATTCCCATTAATTTCTTTACTACTTTTGCAAGCACCTATATTTAGTCAAAGATATTCCCCAAATTAGAGGTGAAAACAATTCTCAAAGTAAGTCCCTATGCTAAATTTGTAGCCAAATTGAAAAGAATTAAGTTTCACAAGAGAAAGATTGGTATTTCCATCAAAGGCAATGGCAGTTGAGGGCCATGCGGCGAAGCAGAAACTTGGCGGCCTCCTTTTTCTCACAAGATCCAACGAATTCTCCACCCTCTCTTCTTATAAACTCCTCCTCCTTCTTCATCTCCAACGGGGAAAAGAGCCGGAGATTAAAAGTTTAAAAACAAATTAATTTTTCTCTGAGGCATTTTCACAGACATCTTTTGTGCAAGACATGGGAGTGAAGCTCTACCTGATTCTCCTCCTCATCCTCCCTGTAGCGGTGGTGCCTCATTCCGGAACCATCAACAACATCGCCGTTTCATCCTCCGGCGGCACCTTATCCAGAGAATTGAGCCCACGAAACCTGATGGGCCGTAGTCTGGTTCAAAAGGGGAAGTATCTGAGCTACGCGGCGCTGAAGATGAACGTCATCCCCTGCGGCGGCAGGGGCATGTCTTACTACGACTGCACCAAGCGCAAGAGAGCCAATCCTTACAGACGCTCCTGCCTCGCTATCCATGGCTGCGCTAGATTCACCGATTAATTTAAGTTTCTTCATTGTACTCTTCATCGTTATTCTATACTAGACTTTATTTCTCTTTATCCGACTTTTTATTCTTAAGGTCGAATCATCTAATATGACCCTCCTTATTACAATTAGTAACATGTCTCTCTACTGCCCCTTAGATTTAGACCTACATTTACTTTTTATCCCTTTGTTTACTGCCTTTCGATCTCCCTCTAGAGATTCACTAACTTTAACCTTTTTATTTTCTTTTAAGGCCCTATTTTAATTATTCATTATATATTAATATTAGATAAATTGTTATAATAAAAAATATATTTACTATTAATAATATAGTAATAAATTAAATTAAAATTTATTAAACGTGACAAATTTCATTTATTTAGCCTGAATAATTAGATATATCCTCACTCCTCATTTGCCGAATGACCGTCTACCTTATTCATCTTACGTACTAAACGAAATTATTGAGTAAAAATATACACATAATTCTTTCATCCGGATTACAAACAATCCCAATAAGGATGACACACCCTTGCTAGTCAATATATTAAGGATTGAAATATACACCATTACACACAACAATATTTTCGTAAGGGATTATTGTGCAAGAAAAATAAAGAGAATGGAGAAATAAAACATTTGTAGATCTCCTGAACACCTAACGACACGAACCTGGAATCCTTTTAGACAAGACCACTCCTCCACGCCGAACGACAAACACCCACGATATTCAGCGACTACCTCCAAAACGATGTGAAGTGATCTTTCACTAATTTTTCTATTAAATAGAGTGATGACGTTGACCGTGATCGCAAAACTAAATAGGGAAACCAGCACTATAATTAATAAGTTATAATTAATTAGAAAATGTAGGGTAGCCATAGCGAACTTTGGATTTGGATTGGTTACAACATCTGATCAAAAGATGATGACATTTGTTATTGGTGGAGAGATTTGTCTTCAAAGATAAGAAAATTCTTAAACCTTGTGATCATATTGGTGTGATAGAGGCCTTTTGTTCTCTTTCTTATAAACTCCCTTTCTCATATAATTATAAGGTCAAATCTATTTGCTTATACCTAACATATTTGCTCTCTGCAAAGATTGAGTTCATGGGACAGTTAAATAAATAAAATAGTATTTTGAATTTTTTTTTTTTTGGCCATCTAAAATAGAATAATAAAAGTTATTAGATCCGTTGTCTTTTACATTTTCGAGTCAAATCGAACCTTAGCCCTAAAATTGAAGTAGAAGCCTCTATCCATTTAGGTCTGTTGCCTTTTAATTAAAAGCCTCGAAAAGGGACGTTGGCCGTGATTGCAAAACTAAATATGGAAAGAATCACCATAATTAATAAGCTATTATTAAGAAGGCGTAGCGTAGGAATAGCCAACGTTGATTGGTTACTGCATCTCCAAAGAACAAATCTCCGTTTCATTCGGGTTTTTGTTATCAATTCTGAATTCTCTCTCATCATTGTAATATTATATATAAAGCGTGAATTCGGAAGAGTCTCCAAATCATCGAAAAGGGAAGGGAGAGAGAAGCCAATAGCAATTCGGTTTCCATTCCCTTCTCCACAGTCTGTACAAGAAAGAACGATAATCAATTGACAATGACGAAGCTCGCAGCTCTCTTCACCATTGTCGCACTTGTTCTTACAATGTCCCTTCTAACCTCTTCCGAAGCTCGTCCGACCATCGCCACTTCCGTCAAAATCGTCAATCCGGTACGCTAATCGATTTTGTTCTTTAATCAATTTTCATCGTTAATCATATGGTTGATTTTTTTCATATTTCTTAAACCACGGTTTTGTAGGATCCTGAAGAAACGGTTAATGGAGACATATGTGATGAACAAAACCCGGATGAAGACTGCCTCTTCCGAAGAACACTAACGGCTCATACTGATTATATTTATACGGAAACCAAGCCGAAGCGGGAGTGAACCTGGCGATTCAACCCGGTTGCGGTGTGCACGGTGCAGTTGCCTTAACAAGAATGACTTGGGAATTGTGGCTGTTTTACCCCTTAAGTCAATTGATTATTTCAGGATATATATTATAACATCCTCGTTTGATGTTAGTATTTATTCACCTGAAAAAGGTTCTTGCTTTGCAGCAAAATATTAATAAATAAATTCCTTCTTTATCTACTTCTCTCTTCCAACATCATATATCTCTTTTAATGCCTCTGCTTCTTTAATCCAGCTGGTTAATGAAAACATGTGCAAATATTGCTAAGTTTTTATCTTTATAAATAGATATTTTATTGTGATTAACATTTATGTTTTTCCGTCAAATCGAGCATAGCTCAAATGATTAAGGTTCACCAAAAGATCATGAATTTGAACCCTCGTCCCTACATTGTTTTCTTCAAATAGTAATTTTTCATCTAATGAAAATATATAGTGCAAAAGGCGAAACTAAAACCTCATACCTAAGAGTATTAAAAAAAAATTATACTAATTCAAAATAAATTGTAACCGTTTTGAAGCCAAAACTAAATGCCATCAATACTTTAAAGGAGAAATCCAAATATACATTCATGTTTATATAAAAAATTTTAATGACATATTAGTTGATGGTTGCATTATGAATCCCTTCAAAATTGAAAGATAGGTTTAAAAGTTAAATGCATTTTAGTTTGAGAGATGCTAGAAGCTTTTTTAAATTGCAACAGATCTCATCCAGGAAATAGAGATAGTATTTGTTTTTTTCTCGGCTACCTTAGGTAGTGGAAGAGATTTTCTCATCCAGAGTCATCAATAATCCACACAAAATTACAACAGATTTATCAAGACTTTTGCAAAGTTGGAAAAGGTTTATCCATTTAGGCAAAGTCGTCATTATCTTTTTCTTTCGTCAATCAAACTCATTAATGCCACATCAACATATGAAGTTTTAACCCAATACCTTTTAAAACTATTTTCCAAAGGTTAGGGACCACATAGTCACTTTTTAAAACTTAGGGACCAAATAGAAATTTATGTTCAAAATTAGGACCAAAAGTGTATTTTCTAGTACACTTGGGGTGTAGAAAATTATTTTGTATTTAAGGTTTAGGATTTATAATCCCTCACAAGGATCCGACCATGGAGATTAAAAGATCAAAATCTAGAATTTTTTAATACACTTGGGATGTGGAAAATTATTTTGGCAATCCAAAATAAATTCCTTTTTTTTTAATGACTTATACCGAGTTAATGTTTTATTTCTAAAATGTTAATAAATAAACATAAAATTAAACCGAATAAATTGAATAATAAAAAATAAAATAAGCAATACAATCTCCACAAACACAAACTCTCGAACTCAATTTTCTATTAATTAGAGTGATGAGTCATACTCTTTAACATCTCAACAATTGTCTTATTAAAGACCTTGAAAAGAGGACATTGACTGTGATCACAAAACTAAATAGGGAAAGAAAAGAAGCACTATAAATTATTAAGCTATAATTAAGAAAATTTAGCGTAGCCAATGCCCAAATAGCCAACTTTGATTGGTTACAGCATCTCCAAAGACCAAATCTCCATTTCATTCGGGTTTTGTTATCAATTCTGAATTCTCTCTCTCATAATTATAATATTATATAAGGTGAATTTGGGAGGGTTTCCAAATCATCGAAAAAGGAAACGGGAGTGAGAAGCCAATAGCGACTCGGTTTCCATTCCCTTCTCCACAGTCTGTATAAGGGAGAACGATAATCAATTGACGATCAAATTCAAATACACAATTCCATTCCAAGAATGACGAAGCTCGCAGCTCTCTTTACCATTGTCGCACTTGTTCTTACAATGTCCCTTCTAACCTCTTCCGAAGCTCGTCCGACGATCGCCACTTCCGTCAAAATCGTCAATCCGGTACGCTAACCGATTTTGTTCTTTAATCAATTTCCATCGTCAATTATATGGTTGATTTTGTTCATATCTATTAAACTTACAGGTTCCTGAAGAAACGGTTAATGGAGACATATGCGATGAACGAAACCCGGATGAAGATTGCCTCTTCCGAAGAACACTAACGGCTCATACTGATTATATCTATACGGAAACCAAGCCGAAGCGGGAGTGAACCTATTCAAATAATTGCTTTCACAAATTTGCACGGTGCGGTTGCCGTAACAAGAATGACTTGGGAATTGTGGCTGTTTTACCCTTAAGTCAATTGATTATTTCAGGATATATATTATGATATCCTCTTTCGATGTTACTATTTATTCACCTGAAAAAGGTTCTTACTTTGCAGCAAAATATTAATAAATAAATTCCTTCTTTATTTACTTCTCTTCTCTTCTCTCTTCCAACCTCATATATTTCTTTTAATGCCTCTGAATTCTTTAATCCATGTGTAGATATCACTGAAAGATAACTCATTATCACCTCCAGATACCTCTCTTATTCATTAATCCAGAGGTCGCATTACAAATTTTATAAATAAATTAGGTTAAAATATCGGATATAGTGGTTTGCTTCAGGGTTTAAAATGTCGAGAGACATGTCGACATATCGCTCATGTCATCGATGTTTTTTTTTTCCCTCCTTCTTTTAATGTTATTTTATCAGTCTATTCCTACCCAGTCAATATTGGGTTATTTACATAGAGGGATGGAAAAAATTGCGAACAATTATACAATAATCTACCTTATGTAACATGTTGGGATTATTTAGCTACTATGTTCACAAAAGCAATAACCGTAAATGGTCCAGAATAGTTGGGAAATATTCAAGTACCTAAAAGAGCCTCCTATATTTTCCTTCTACGAGAGGGATAGTTTAGACTCCCTTCTTCTATATTTTCCTTGTACAAGAGGGATAGTTTTATTAAATCTCAGAAACGAAGGAAAGGGGGGAAAGCGAGGGGACTAAATAGGAACAAGAGGGATCCACTCAAGAATATACTTCTCCTTCCCTTTTTTCGGAAGAAAAAGAAGAGGATCCTGACAAAATCCGATGAAACGGAAGGCCAAAGTTTCAAAAAGAAAAATCTTATGTCCTCCGAGTCGCACGACGTTTTAACCGAAAGAACTTCTTGCGCAATTCATGCCTTTCTGTTTTTATGACCAGAAATTGTTTCTTGATTTCCATTTCAAATTGTTCTCTGGACTTTTTATCAATATGAGGTGATCGTAACACAGTATAGTTGACTTGTGATTCAGGCAATCCAATCTTCCGTGTGTAAGGCGGAAGCCCCCAAAAATGGTTTTCAAAAAATGGGTGATCAAAAGATCGAATCACTATGCGTATCTTGGTGGTCGTGACTTTTGGTGGTCTTTCTTTTTGGCTTACTCCTCTTCCTGTTCTATTGATCAGAAGCATCCAGCAGCGCCACGCCGGTTTAGAATTTGATTCTCAGGGCTAAGGCTCTCCTTATCCCCCCTCCCTTTTCTTTCCTCCCTGGCCGTGTGTGGGCCACACTTCTGAAAGGCCCTACAGGGGTCCTTCACTTACTYGTGTGAGCCCCCCGCCCGCTCACGCTCCTTACCAACAACCCGGCGCTTCAATCTCTCTTCTGGTTTGAAAAACCTCTTGTGACTATTCTTTTCGACTATAAACGATGGAATCGTCCATTTCGATTTATTATGTTTTATTTTTCTTAAACTACCTAGTTTTCTCTCAAAGAGAAAAAGAAAAGAAGAAGAGTTTTTGTATTTTCTTTCAAAGATCGGTAAGTTTTTTTCTTCCTCGATCAGTCCTGAGGCGTTTGAAAATGGTGTAAAAGAGGTAGTCAAAAGTTTACGATTAAAGTTTATTTTACATATTCAAATAATTTCCACCGATAAAATGATTATATTATTATAGTTAAATGTGATCAATTATAGGTTTAATAGTAAAATGTGATCAACTAAAAATAATAATAATTTATATATATATATATATATATATATATATATAATGTCATCAACTAAAAATAATAATAATTTATATATATATATATATTTTTTTATGGTTACAAACACCCCAGCTAAAAAAATAATTCAGTATATCTATTAGAACTCATCTCCAAATTTGAACTGGAATCTCGCCATAAGTTTTATTTGTTAATTCAAAAAATTTCCTCAAGTTCACAAAATTGACTGAAAAAGACCCTCTCTCTTCGATGGGTACAATTTGAGATAATATCTTCGGGGCTGTTTTAAAATCGTATTTACATAAATATCTTCAATTTTCTAAATTTACACTTTTAGATATTTTCATGTAAAATTTTATTCTAATACCCTTTCTACCCTTATTTATTGTTTTTTAATATATTATAATTTTAAAATTTAATAATTATATTCATTTAATTATTGTGGTCCATTCAATTTTTCAACCTAAAATCCTTAAATCTCTCAAAGATTTTGATCCTCCCACCAATTAATAACTTCCAAATTTGTGAAATCATGATTTGAATTTTCCACTTAGTTTTCTGCCGTCTCCATCCTCTTTCGTTTGCCGCCGCCTTCCTTTCAGACGTCAGACCTTCATCAACGAGGACAGCATACCGTCTTCTTTTAATTCTTCTTTCCTTCTAGATCTTCTTCTTTTCGTTGCCGAGTCGACGTCGTGTGCTTCCGTCATGAGGTATTTATTCCTTCAATTTTCGTTGCACTTTTCCGACGCCGTGCAGCGTTCTTCCATCGACGCCGTTGAGTGTTTATCTCGTCTCCTGTCCCCTTCCATTTTTACCATTGGTAATTATTAGCTTCTGTTAAGATTGGTATATATGGGGATATATTTTATGTATGTGTATAGAAAATTGAAGTTCTTATAGTTCTGTAGAAATGGTCCTTCATACCATTGGTAATTATTAGTCTTCCGTTAAGATAGAAATGGTCCTTCATACCATTGGTAATTATTAGTCTTCSGTTAAGATTGATATATATGGGGATATATTTTGTGTGTGTATAGAAAATTGAAGTTCTAAATGTCTCATAGTCTTAGTATTCATGATTATATTCGTATAGATGGGTATATATCTTATATATAGTATAAGATATATACACATATATCTTATGGTTCTCTAGATAGGGTCTTCCAAAATTGAAGTTCTAAACGTCTCATGGTCTGGACGATTGTTTTTGGATTTTGGGGGATTGTTGAAGGTTTTCAAATTTTGGGGATTTTGGGATATTATTTCAAATCTTTGTCAATTTCTTTCTTACAAAAGCTTCTGTAAAATGGATGTTTCATTTTTAATTTAGGGTTTTGTTTGTATGGGATCTAAATTATAACCTTCCAATTAATAAATTATGCATCTTAAAATGAATTAAAAATTAATTTAATGGGTACCCTCTTACTAATCCCTACAATTTTATCCTATCTTCAAAATTTGTCAAAAATATAATGTCAATTTTGTTAAACAAATATTTTCAAATAAAATAATCAAAGAATTTGTCAGTAAACCAAAAAATTAATTGTCTGTTTGTTTTGTATTAAAAAAAAAGTGATATATGTTTGATAATTATTTATTATATTTTTATTTATGTATTCGAAAATCTAAAAACAAGAACAATCTCTCTACGTTGTTTTCAAATTTGAACAAAATGACCCCTTAAACGTGCTAATTTTTTAAGAAAGCATATTATTAGAATCTAGAAAGAGAAATATATTCAAATTACTTCCGTTTAGATTCAAAATCAAATGAGACACGTTTTTCTTTCCCAGTCGTACCGTACTTGTCTTGACAGAAAATTTAAAAAAATAAAAATAAAAAGAAAATGGCGCTATCTCCTAGTCGTAGCACTAGCGCATGCATTTGTAATCTTCCGCTGCATGTGAATCATAGCCGTCCGTTGATACCAAAAGTAGGCCCGTTACGTTTGACAAAATCACAAAATTCCAAAAGTAATTGAATATTTTTTTAAAAAAAAATACAAAGAGAATTAATTAAATAGACACAAAATTTTAATTCAAGTTGTGGCAGATGCAACATAGCGAAGAAGCATGTCAACTACATCCTTTGAGACCCTGTCCGATGATTCTTTCAAGTTGTTAATTTTAGCATTGGTTTCCTCCTCCAGTCGTTGAGCATACGACCCAGAATTTGTCTATCATTACAATAAAAAAACAAATAAAAAAAATGAATTTTAGTTATAAATGCCACTGGATTTGGTTTTACCTCAGTAACTTTCTTCTGATATTCAGCCTCCATGTTGGCACGATACTGCGCCACTTCCCTTTCAGCTTCATCTTTAGCCTGTTTCAATCTCGCCATTTTCACTGCAGCGAATAATTTCAACACCAATAAATATATATATATTAAATCATTCACGAAATGGGTGGATTTTATTTTATTGTTTCTAAAAAAGTGGTTTGGTTTACTGTTTCTAGCGTTGGATATGACTTGTTGGGCATCTTGTTCTGCAGTTAATAGCATCTGAATGCCTCCTTGTCCTCTAAACGGATCCATCGCCATCTCTCTATCTTTAATGTGACTGATTTTTTGCTTTTTGTAAGTTTTAAGAAATAGAATTCAGAGACTAATATCCTCCATGCTTAATAATCCTCAGGTTTCTAAAAATAACTCACAAAATCCTCCATGCCTAAGGGGGCTTAGTTTGAGAATTGGTCAATCACTGTTTTAGGATCCAACTGTAATCAACCAAATCCTAACTGATTTCTATTGTTTTTAGTATAAAAGTTTTTTTCTTTTTGAATAATATGATCAAATACGTTAATCACATTTTGTTTAGTTTAAAGGGATGTAGTAAAATAAGTGCAAACATAAAAGTTTATACATATATATAATTTTAATTACAATTTTAATCCTTATTTAGTTTCAAAAAGTGTTTATAACTGTCTGAATTTTTCAATTTTTCAATAAGAATTATTATTAGGCAATTTTAGTGACTTAGTAGAAACTTTTAAATTTCCAGATTCATTAGACATTTTATAAAATTTAAAAATTTATTATACACAATTTTAGAAGTCAGAAGCTAAACTCATAATTTAACTCAACAATCAAAAGAATCATTTTGTATTGTCAAATACAATATTTTAGTTTTTGTTGGCGTTAACTTTTTTTTTTTTATCATATAATCTGGTGCTTTTAAATATATATATCAAAATTTTTTTATCAAATTCAATAAACATAAGATGTCAGTATGAAATTTAAAATTCTATATATCATCTTTTACACGCATGTAACATCAATTAATTTTGATTTTAAAATGATTTTGTACAATATAAAAATGAAAACATATAAATTATTTAACAAGTGGAAAAAGGAACACATGATTTGTGAGAAGGTGAGGTTTGGGCATTTGGGTGGGTCACGAGTAAAGTACTCGTGTCGTGTCTGATAATTACCCAACCCCCATCCCCACTTGCCCTGCACGTGACTCTAATTATAACAACTCCAAGGGTTAATTTATTAATTTCCCCAAAGTCCGTGCTGGTAAAAAGGAAACCAAAAATAAAAAATAAAAAAATTTAACAATAAAAGTAACCTCACCCGGGGGCGTTGTCTACTGGTTTATTACACTAAACAAGAATTAAATAAAATTATAAACACAAACACACACTAATTTCAAAGCCATTATTCTATTTGGGAGTGTTTGAAATTAAATGCTTTTTTAGAAAAATACAAATAAAATAGAGTGCTGTGCTGTTGCAGCCGCAGGCAGAGGCAGCAGTTCAGTTTCAGTTTGGTATAATGAAGAGAGAGAGAGAGAAAAAGAAGCAAACAAGAACTAAAGAATGGGTTTATTTATTAAAATTGAATATGGTGAAGAAAATGAGAATGATGATAATGAATGGACCAGACCAGTGACCACGTCCCAAATCCAAAATAAAACCCAAAATTTGCCCAACTGCCGCACCTCACCTGATGTGATCTAATTTTCCAACACCATCATATTATCATATAATTAGTATTGTTACGTAGTTGAATATATATATATATATATATATATAAATAAATGATAAATTACAGTTTGATTCGTGTAGTTTCAATTTTTGATTATTTTTGTTTTTGAATTTCAAAACATTCAATTTTTCATCATATGTTTTTTATCACAACTTTAACGTGATAATTCATTAATTAATTATTTTGAAATATAGCTATAAATTTATATTAAAAAAAATTCATTTTATACAAAATTTGTGTTAAAATTTTAAAGGAAAAATTAAAAGTATTCAAAATAAACGCTATATGAGAGTATAAGAATCTAAATCAACTTATCAAAATAATATTTAAGCTAAAGAAAGAAACACAAAGTGGTGGTTGAACTTTAACCTTCACCCGTCGATCAATTCAAGCCATATTAGCTCAGCCACCAACAAATGTTCATGAATTCTCTCACACTCATTTTATGATTTGATTTCCTTATTCTTTTCTCCTTGACCTGGCCTTGCTTTCCTTTCAAATCTTAGGGCCTACCATCATTGTCTTCTTGTGTTTTGTGTTTTTTTTAAGGTTCAATTATATGTTTAGTCCTTACAAATTAGATGGGACAGTTGGTAGACAAAATATATTTTAAATGGCTTCCTCACCCTCCTCATATTTTTTTAGCTGGTTTATTCTTTTTTGTGTCACATCAATCGAAACTTAAAAATGTAACTAATTTTTTTTAAAGTTTAATCCGTAAATTTTATCAAAATTTAGAGGCTAGGTTTGTAATTTAACTTAGAAATGATCAAATCCCCGAAAACAAGTTAAAATTGCTTTTTAGAAAGTATGATTTTTTTGCACAAATTTTGTACCAAAAAATACAGTAGTTCCATTGGGAGTGGACTACTCAGTTGTCTTGTTTTGCTTTTGTAACACTTTCCTCTCTTTCTCTCTCTGTGGCCAAACAGTCAAAACATAGTTTTAAAAATTATGAAGCTTGGCTATTGTCCAGGATCTTTGACCACAAAAAAACAAAATCAATAACAAAACTGTATTTGATATTTCTATGAGATCAGCATTTGAATCCAAAAGATGAAGGCCAAAATATGGCTCCAAATAAATCATAGCTTCTCCATCTTCACGAAATCCAACGAATATCATACAGTCGCCGGGACAGAAAATTCCGGTTATCTGTCGACGGCGATTCAGTTAAAAAAAAATAAACAGAAAAAGCAATAAACACATGGGAATCAAAAGTTCTTTCTCCCATTCATTCACAAAATAATCTCAACTATGCATAAACCAAAATTTAAAAAAAGAAAGGAAAAAAAGGGGTGTATGAACAATTTTGACAAGCTATCTTTTTATTGTATAGTTCTGGTAAGCTTACACTTGGAAATGAAGGTAGAATCCGGGTAATTTAGACTACACAATTTCAATAGCTCTATGGATCTCTGTTTCAGCTCTGAATTATTGCACTCACTTTGGATCATAAGCAGCAGCTTCGCCGCCAAACCGGCCTCCACCGCCAGCACCGCGCATTCCTCCGGAGCCAACTTGAAAACCGCCCACAAGATCGACAGCGCAAATTGAGTACAAATCTCCGACACTTTCATCAACAATTTCACCAAATTCCTAATCGTATCCTCGCAGTCTTTCAACGCGATTCTTCCTTCTGGAAGCGACGATAACACCTCGAGAATATAGAGCGCTGATTCCAGGCAATCGGGGTTTAGACCGGAGAGGGCGCCGCCGAGTTTCGCGACGGCGCCGATGCTGACGAGTTGCTTTCTGATTGGTTCGTTGGAACAGAGCGATCGGAGTAAACTGAGTCCGGCGGATACTCCGGTTGGGTGTCTCTGATCCTTCACCATTCTCAACAATCCGACCAAGAGGCTTAAACTGGAGACGTTTTCCGATCTCAAATCCTCGCCGTCCATCAACATTTTGATGAATTTCGTGCAATTAATTTTGGTTTCTATGGAGCCTTCGTTTAAAATATCCGCGATTAGCGATATTCTGGTGGGTTGAATCAGATTCTTCTTCAGCTCCGAATCGAGATCCAAATTGACGAGGATCCCCACGGCTTCGGACCCGACGGCGTGGGAAGTGAAAGAGCCCAAAAGAGAGGAGATTAAGCCGACGCCGCCGTTGTCGACAACCATCTTCTTGGCGGAGGAGTGGGCGGTGACGACATGTCGGAGATCTTTAAGGGACTGAACCCTAGCTTGGCCCTTGACTCTCTTCAACGAATCCAAGAGCTCTAGAACTCTGCCTTGAACGTCCTCGGACCGCTTTTTCAAGGCCAAGTACTTTTGGGAAAACCAGGTGTGGATCAGCTGGTGGAGGGTCCGGTTCGGAGTGACGGAATCGTCCCAGAGTTCTTGCATTGTGGTGGGGCAAGTTAAGTGGCCGAGAGAGAACCATTTGAGA